CTAATTATATTTTAGATTTTTTATATTTAAAATGAGATGTTTATTCTGTATTTGATTGTGTTTATCTGCAGTTAGTTACACGAATTCAGATATGAAATAAAATCGGATAGGAATGAACGGGTTTAAGAGTTTTTAAGAGTTTTAGCCAAATGCTTTATAAGATTGTATAGATATGTGTTTGAAATATTAAATTTCAAAATAAATTCTGCTTATTAATACATAATCTCTCTTCTAACAAACAATTAATGCATATAATCTCTCATTTCAATTAAATTTTAAAAAATCTATGAAAATATCGATATTTTATATTCCCTCGCATTTATTGGCATGTTAGAGAATGATGTAACAGTTTTATTGGAACAAACTTTTATAAAAAAAATCAAAAATATATACTGTATTTTTCACATATTTTGTTGGAGATGCTCTATAGTTAACGGGTCATGGTTGGAGGTAGAGGGACAGTGTTTTACAATATGATATTAAGTCTTAAATTTTTTTTAAATAACTCATAATGCATTAAGTACTACTACTTTATGCATTCAGTCTTAAAATCTCCCAATCTACAACTAAAATAACATATAGTACAAGTTACCAATGCACATTATTACCTTTTCTTTTCATGTTCCCAAAATACTTTTGACATATTTCACCATGTCTTCACCCTCTCATACCTCTATCTCTTCTCTTCATCCCTCAATGTGAGATTCAAATTGATATTCACATTAGTTATTAAAAGTTATCTCATTCAGCTCCAATTCAATTGCTCTAGAACTCTCGGTCTCGCTCTCGATCTTTTGATTCTTTTGCTGTTGGTGTAAATCGAACACATATGTGGAGTCGTTTAAAATATGTTGAATTTTAAATATATTGGATTTTAAATTGTCATACAATTTTTTTCATCGATAGATTGTAATTAGAACCATAACTCTTATTTATTCGAATTGTATTAATATATAAAGACCAGATGTAACTTATATCATTGTTAAATCTTCTTTAATAAAACTAATGAAACTTCAAAATCGTTAAAATTCACGGCTTCCGCTGCATTGGACGAATACACACCTGGTAGTCCTTAAAAAAACAAAATTTCATAATCCATATTCCATACACTAAAGTGTAAAGTGACCGTATACTATCAAGCTTGAGATTTATTTATTTTTATTTTATTTAAATATTATAATAGTACTCGTACAATGCAACGAGATATATCTCGATTTTAATGTTTTGTATTTTTTTTGTCTCGATCGATGTTATAATACGATTTTATATGGTTTTGAGAAAACTATAATGTTCTTAATTTTTAAACAAGATATAAATACGAAGATATCATAAAGAATTGAAAAAAATATTGATATTAGTACTAAACTAACTATTTAATTTTTTTTGTGTATTTTTTAATTCATTTTTTTAATAATATATTTTTTATAAAGATAATAATTAAGTATTTT